AAAAAAAAAAAAAAAAAAAAAAAAAAAAAAAAAAAAAAAAAAAAAAAAAAAGACAACAACTCCAAACTAATCATTGTATCAATAAAACCTTAAACTTTTGTAAGTGAATCAATTTGAATTCTCGGTTATGATTCGTACTTTAAAATCTAAATGTATAATTTCACACAAATTGACTTTTAAATGCATGGATTAAGCGTAATATTATGTGATAAATTTTCTTCCTATTTTGGTAGGATTTTGTGAGAAAATTACTCTTTATTTAGGTGGTTTTGAGTTAGATTTTAGATGCAATCAAGTGAAAATAGTTATAAATCATTAACGGAGGTTTCAATTGATTCATTTTTAAATGTTTAGGATTTAAATTGATGCAATTATTAGTTTGAGATTTTAATTGATGTATCCTCCAAAGTGTAGGAGTAGAAATTGATTTGTTTCCGAAATAAGTCAGTATGTTTGTGCTCTGTTTGGCTCCCTTGTCCTTTTTTTCTTACTGGTTATATTCATTGCAGGGATATAATTCTCTAAAAGACTTCTTCCCGACCATGGAAATGAGGCCCAATCCTCAGTGTTCAAATGTGGTTTGTCTGGAAAGACAGGTAACTCCGACTGTTTTTTAAGTCAGTTAATCTCGATTTTTGAATTCCTATGGATTATTAATAATATGTGTGGTGCAGAAGGAATACGTTATTGCAAAACCTGCACGTGATGCTGCAGCTAAGGCAAAGATGGAAGCAGAAGCATTGACGGTTGAAGAAATCCCACTGCATGCTGATAATGAATGGAACATAAGGTGTTTGTTCTAACTCCTAACATTATACATGATGTAGTCTTGATTCCTCACTTGATTATCTTTTCAATCATAGATTAAATACAGTTGAGAAATTCTAGTTAAAAATTGGACATTTTAAATCGATAGCCTTGTTTTAACTTTGAAGAGATAAAATCTCTGCCTTTTGGTCTTGTCAGCGCTACCAAAATTCATCAAGAATTGATGCAGTCTTACAGATTATAGACACTTAGATTCGAGATTTAGCATTATCCAAAGAGTCTATTATGATTCCACCTCCGGTGTCTTAATTTATTTACTGTTGATTTTCAGTGTTGTTGATGAAGTTGAGATTGAAATCGAGGGAGCAACCACTTCAGGTGATCTTTTATGCATTTATGTTAGTTTCAGAATTTTCTTTCCGTTCTCTTTGCCTCCCTCCCAGATCATGTATATGGTCCTGCAAATTCCTCATTTTCATCATGGTTTGCTATGTCCACCATAATAATTGCTGATATTGATTGATTCTGCACAAAATTGGTGATATTTTATGCTGGTAAATGATCTGGGACAACCCATTTTAAACATTTAGTAATATCAAGTATGAGCTTTGTGAGATCCCACATCTGACTGGGGAGAAGAAAGAAGCATTCTTTATAAGGGTGTGGAAATCTCTCTCTAGTACACGCGTTTTAAAAATCTTGAGGGAAACCCTAAAGAGGATAATATCTGCTAGTGGTGGGTTTAGGTCGTTACAGTCTTTGTTTCATCTGGTAATATAACTTGATATTATTACCAGCTTGATATTGATCTTGAAGTTAGATTCAACCAGTAGAAATTAGACGTCATTTGTTGATTATTTTTTATGGCAGGAATTTGGTTCTTTGCTGTGGTAAGGATATCTTTAATCTATTTGATATTCACTTTGATTTGTTTTTCCTGGCAGATGCCCTTCCTGAAGGTCTTGTTCGTGAGCTTCCAATTGCAGATGAGTCGCAGCATCCGGCTCCCACAGAATCCGCAGCCCCTTCTTCAGATGATCTTGAAGATCTGAGGAGACAACTTGAGGCCCTTAATTCTTGATGTCCAAATGTTTTCAGCTCTCGGTCTCGTTTGGATATCACCATTTTGCTCCCCTCTGCAAAGTGTATGTGTTCATCCAATCTGAATTATAGCTTACAATAGCACTCTAGGGAGTTCAAAGAGAGAGAAGCTATTCCATTTCAGGGCTAGTGCTTCAAATAAACTATTTTCTGGACTGGATTCCTCGTTGTTTTTCTTTTTTGACAACAAATATTATTCTTCAAATTAAGAGGCTTACTTCTTCCAGCATTTTTTTGGATGGGAATTATACAACCCTCAAAGATCCAACCCACATCAAAGACCCAAGATTGAACCATCTTGAACAACACTAGAGCAGCTCATACAACATACCAAAAAGAAGAATATGATGAGTTCATATTCTCTAGATTTGACTATAGAGCGGATAGTGACGATGAAAAAAGTATAAATTATCTCGTTTGTATTAAGTTTTTTTTAAGCAATATTTTAAAGGAGACGAATCGTTTTCCGTAAGAGTTGTTAGGTCTTATATACAAAGTTAAATGTTTATTTCTTTTGGATTTTAGTTTTAGTACAATTTCTAGTCAAATATAGTAAGAGACTAAAACGAGAAAGGAGATTTTTCAAACGTGTTAGAGTTTACGGTAACCAGTTTTGTTTTTGAATTTTTAAATTTATGTTTGTTTGGTATTTAAACTTTAAAAAATTAAAAATTAAAAATGTCAAATTAGATGTATTAAAAATCTATTAAATAAAATATAAAACCTAAAAAATTATTAAATAAAAAATAGATATTGACCCTATTGATCACATGGAAAAAAACTTTAGATACACAAATTGAGAGGTTAAGAAACATTTTATTTAAACCATTATTCACATAAAATCCTAATCGTACGGCAAGCAAAATAAGGCGTCTTGCTGCCCTCGTCGTCGTCTCGGAGCCTTGGTTTCCCGCGAAACCCGATTCTTACTAGCAGTTCCGGACGAATTACCGCCCTTCCATGGAATCACTTCGAGCTTCCAAAGAGGCCGATTGAAATCCTCGTATCAGAGTAGCCATCGCGGGACATGAACAACGATCGATGCGTAAAATGAAGAAAAAAGAGAAGAAGAGTGCATACGAATACTGCCTCGTCTGCAAACTAAACCACGATCAAGGGCAGCGCCATAAGTATTTTCCCAACCACAAAAAATCTCTTTCTGCTTTTCTATCTCGGTTCGAGATCAAGCTGTCCGACGTTCGCTTTTTTCTTAACACCCCTTTTCCCCTCACGCCCGAGTATGCTTCTCACAATCGGTTCTGGTGCATCTTTTGCAATGTTGAAGTCGATGAGAATGATAGTTCGTTCGCATGGTATTGATCTACTGTCTATTTTCAATTCCTTGTTTCTTGAAGTAATTACGATGCATATTTATGTTTTCTGGGAAATTTTAGAATCTACTTCTGCTGACTTATATGCTAATTACGGTTGAACTCCTGTAAAGGTTATTTTTCTCTTCTTTTAAAAGAAGACTGAGTTTCTTTGATATAATGTAAACAAAAGGGAAGGGAAACCATGACTGAAGTTAATGGGGTTAAAGAAAAACCCTCCATTTAGTACATAGTTCTGTAGAGAGCTTCAGGATATTGTGTATTTTACTCGTTTTCTAGATGGAGTTCTTTAGAATTGACGTTAAATGGGAGGGTTTTTGAAGTGTTGTTGGCTTACTTCTAGACTTGGTAGGTTCTTTGCCTTCTTTACCTCCTTCAGTGCAGTAGCAGTTATTCTTAATGAATATATATATATATATATATATATATATCTCTGTTGCTAATTTAAAGAATTGTATGGTGAGCAGTTTTCATGTTTTACTTTCATTATTTCATGTTTTGAGATTTTGTAACAGTAGCAATGCAATTAAACACCTAGCCAGTGCGGATCATCTGAAGAATTTGAAGCATTTCTTATGGAAGTATGGTGGTGATATGGAACGTTTGAATAATTATAGAATTTTAGAAGCTGATGAAGCTAAGGTAGTCCCTAGCCTTTACTTTTTACAAGGATCAAATTTATTGGAACTATATTATTCATGTGTATCATGCAATTCACATTTAGATTTCTAGAAGTTCATTTTTACTTCTACTTGGCTATTAATTTGAATCGATCTTTGTTGATCCCAGTGGGAGAAGAAGTGCAAAGTACAAAGCATAGCTGCTACATCCAGTCTTGGACCTGCAAATGATATCCACAATCAACCTGCAAATGATATCCACAATCAAGTCCAATATGGAAAATTTGATAATTTTGGGAATAATAATATCCACTCTGTTGAATCTAGTTCGTCAATTAGTGTTTTGCCTTTACACAGTTATACAAATGAGTATCAGGTATCCAATTCATCCTATTCAGGATCCTCTGATGTTTCGAATTTGGTCTCATTGCCACACAATACCACTTCTTCTTTGCATGCTGGTTCATGTTCTGGTGCACATGTATGGAGCCCAAAGAATTTACCATGTAAGCTGCCCCTTTATATTAGACCTCCTGTCGTTGATTTCTTATCAGTCATAGAAGTTCTGTAATAGTGTACAAACTTGTAACACACTCCTGCTATATTGACTGAATGATTGTGATTCAGTGAACGAGGACAACAAGCATTACCATCTGAATAGTGGTAGAACGTGTACTGCTAATGGTCATTTTAGTGGTCAGGGGGTAAGTTTGATTATTCTCTCTTCTAAAAAAACAGTCGAGTTTTCTATTTACTTTGAAGTAACGTTGTTTTGGTGCTTGAAGACCTTCAATTTTGTTTTGGTATGGAGGTGGCGGCGGCAAGTGGGGCTTTCAGTAACTGTTTTTTTTTTTTTTTTTTTTGTACTCTTCTGGTCCTTTGTCCTGTCAATTTCACGCATCTACAAAATAGTTGCTTCTTCTCACAAGGATAGTAGTTAACTGTCAGATTTACAAGTTTGTTAATACATTTATAGAGGCCTAAGGTTTCAATGGATGGTGGATGTTCTATGAAGTAGGTTTTGCATAGTTTATTCTACACAAGTTACTTAATTTTACCTACTTCATAGTCCAGTTAACATTACGACGGTTTATGTATATATATATTATGTAGTTGATGTATAATCTTTACTTACTTCATAGTCCAGTTGACATTTATATATTTATTTTTCATACTATACATAAGTTTTTTTTGTATTGACATTTCTATTAAATGCATAACCTACTTGATATAGATGTCCAGGATGCATCAGAGTGAAAGAACTTTGAATGAAGAAAGCCATACTGAGGGTACGGAATTTTATGAAATCTTATTCTCATTGTAATATTACTCAACTGATTCATGTATTAATGATATTTTTGCTGAAAAGGAATAGTGGAACAGTACTATCAAAATTATGCTATACTGATTTCCTTACTCTGAATATATCTTCATCTAAATTCTAAACTGTATAGTGGTGGTGTGTTTTCATTCTATTCATTATCTTTGTTCAGGTTTTCAGACCCTCACTCGGATTTCTAATATTGTTTCTGGAGATTCCGGAGGAAATGTTCAGTCTGGGATGTTGCCTCCTTGGCTTGAAAACCATGAAGATAGTGGGTTTAAGGTTCAAATAAGACCAGTGGTTGGGGGTGGCGTTTCTTCCTTGAATGAATCTGCAAAGTCCAAGAAACTGAACCCCAAACGGGTAGGAGCTGCATGGGCTGAAAAAAGAAAGTTGGAGATGGAAATGAAGAAGAGAGGAGAAATTGTCCAAAGCTATCATGACGAGAATTGGCTTCCTAATTTTGGTAGGGTATGGCAATCTGGTAGCCGTAAAGAATCTAGAAAAGAATTTGAGAAGGAGAAATCAAAATTCCTGATGGTTGAAAATCCACCTGAACCAAATGTCAATATTCAGCCATACATTAGCAAACGGATGGTGAGCTCCATTTTCATCATATTTAATGCAGTTCTGGTGTTTCAATTTATTTATGTCGTTTCAACACATTTTTTGTTCAACTGTTCAAATTTCCGTCACCTTTGTATCTTTTTGTTATAAAATGTTATTTTACCATGTATTTCCCAACTGGACCTAGCTTGTATGATGCAATGAGGAAGTGGGAAGTTCCGATACGTGACAATAAGGTGATGTTTTGGGCACTCTATTTTCTAGTGCTTAAACCATCATGTAGTCATAAAATTTGAAGTTTACATAAAAAATTTCAATATTAAGATATCCTAGGGGGGGTCTAATGATTACTGACGACATTTGCAACTAGTAGAATTAATCTACGATATGTTGTACCACGCAGGGACTTATTGCTGTAATGTGCATTTTATTTTTGTTCCTATTTCTTGGAGTGACTTGGACCTCTTCCTAGACTGATTTACATGTTATATCACTTATCCTTGTTCTTGCAGCGAAGAGATCGGGAGGATGTGGATGATACTGCCAATCACGCGAGCATATAAGAAAACAATTTTCAAAAGCATTTCTTCTAGAGAATATTTGCACATTCACAATGCTTGTCACAGTTTGGCTTGGAGATAGAATTAGGCTGGAGTTTGATAGGAAACTTCAGAGGCAGACTTATTCCACCTCTTCATTCGTGTATTGGCAATTTACTCAAAACTGTTTGCAGTAAACATGACTTCAATTTTCTTAAGGTATCCGGTAAAAAAAAGCCTCAAGATATTAGTTTAGTGGTACTTGAGAACAAGATCTTTTAGAATGAAGCTCTGTTGGATCACTTTGGGCATTCACTAGTGAGTTTATTTGCTAAACAGTGTTTGACCCCACTGTTGAATGCCTGCTCCTTGTTTCTCATTCCCTATTTCTGTTGCACCTGCTCCAATTATCTTCTGCTACCGAAGTTGTGATCTGAAACAAGTTTATATTTCGTAAATATGTAGCTTGATGACAGCCTTTTGGTTTTCTTCTGCAATGCTTGTTGGGCAAAGCGCCTGACCAGCTTGTATTTGGTCAGGGCTTGATCTACGCTGTATAAATACTATTTTTATGATCAATATGCTAAACAAATGAAAGAAGCTCTGTTGGATCACTCTGGGCATTCACTAGTGGGTTTCTTTCATTTGAATGCATTCACAAATGAAAGAAAATGTGTGTTCTTCTGACAGTCGCTGGCCAAGCGGCTAATTACTAGAATTTGGTTCTTCAAATCTCCGTGTTCTACTTTTGCAGTGGCCAAGCAGCTGTTCCATCGCTTTTCCCCTAGCTTCCAAGAAAGGTTCACAGGGACTGATTACATGTATGTTTCTCTGTACCTTCATCTCAGAACAAAGGTGAGCTCATTGTTGGATCAAAATGCTTTTGTCAGGGCAGAATCTGGTAGAATTTTTCTCATTTCTAATCCTGAAAATCCAGAGTTTCCCTTTAGAGGAAATCAAGTTTTCATCACAAAGGAACTCCCAAGAATACCACTTTTCGATCATACGATCTATATCGTGTACAACTACATCAGTGGTGTTCCCTTCTCTTGCTATGATAGCAGCACTGTAAATTGTTGCCATTCTTCCTGGTGCCAGAGGACTATCTCCTCTCGGTCCATCCACGACCACCACATCCCATTTTACTTCATAAACTTCTCTTGGAAGATCTGTCAACGCAAGTTGGCATCTGGATGAATTCCTGAGGCCCGAGTTTGGTGCACATGATTTGTTTCCTCTGGCATGTTTTAACAACTTGTAAGCTTTTTCTGCATGAAGCTTGTAATCAACTTTGTACATCCGGGTGTGATTTGAATTGACTTTGAATATGCTCAGTTTGTAGGGATCGTCCTCCAGAAAAACATTCTTTCCACCAGGATTGACTGCTGAGAGGTTAAGGTACTGTGATTCTATCCCAAAGAAAAGGAGATTGCAGGGTACTTTTTTGGCAATCAGATTTGAAAGAAGCTTGAATTCTTTCTCTGAAATGGTAGCTTCATTTGCAGAGGTTCTACTGTGATTTCTTGAGAACCCTGATATTGGGCGTTGAAGCTTTGGAGGCAATGCAATTGCTAGAAGTGGAGAAGTATAAGATGTGGTAAGTGCAATCCTAACAAGTCTGAAAATGGAAAGACTAGACAGAATCAACACGAGAACAGGTAGGATTTTGTTTCTTGTAGAACTCATGCCTTTGATTCCTCTACTGATTTTGAAGTTTACTGATGGATATGGGTGCTGTGAAGGTGGTGAGACAGAGGGGGGAGAAAAGAATGATTCTGATGGCACGAGTGAGGGCCAATCTGCCACTTCTGGAGGCATTTTCTTTTACTGTTGTTCGATTTCAACCGCATCAGAGCCACCATCTTATTCTTATTGGAGGGCCACTGGTGGGGTGTTCCTGGGTGCAAGTTGTTATGCCTAATCACCTCTTGAGTGTGGAATAAGAAATGCTTTTGCTTATTCTCAAAGCATTGCCCTTTTGTATTCGTCTGTCGGCTTTGCGAACGAGTACCAACGATGATGTTGGGCCTTGAAGGAGGGTGGATTGTGAGATCCCACATCGACTAAAGATGAGAGTGAGTGCCAGCGAAGACGCTGAGCCCTAAAAGGAATAAATTGTGAGATCCCACGTTGGAGGAGAACGAAACATTCTTTATAAGGGTGTGGAAACCTCTTCCTAGTAGACGTTTAAAAAAATTGAGAGGAATCTCGAAATGAAAAGTCTAAAGAAGACAATATCTGCTAGTGGTGGATTGGATCTTTACATTTGAGGAATGGACCAATCCTTACCTTTGACGAATGGAAAGTGGCTGCTGAAGAGGCTTGAAAGGACATAAATCTGAAGGAGGTTGGTCATTTCAATCATTGATTTCAGATGGAGACTTTGAGACATCTGTATCTTTTTGGTCCATTTGGTGGGTATGAGTAGAGTTGAAGGTGGCTTTCAAATGGTTGCTGGGTCATTTCCATCCATTTTGACCTTCTCGAACTTCAACGTTCTCCTCTGTGCTCGCCTTTTTTGTAAAGGTGGAAAAATACCCCTTTCGTTCATTCTTCAAAATGACTTCCAAAAGAATATGACTTCAGATCCGTGGAAGACTGGAAACTGTTCTTCATTTTGTTGAATCAGCCGATGAATGGTTCATCAGTCACTATTCCCCTACTGTTACCCATTTGAAAAAGATCAACTGAACCACGATGTTTCAAATGATCACCTCTCATTTTCAAATTTCAAGTACGCGATAGAGAATTAGCATTTGTGGGTATTTTTCATTAGTTTTAATTGGTGTCTTTGCTACCCCAAAATACATTATATAGTTAAAGCACTTTTTAAACATTATTTGAGCACATTGTTATAACAAATTTTATAATCCTAAAGAAAACATGTCTATCAAAAGTAAAATCCATCTAGAGTTCTCCATCTTGATACTGAGATGAAAATGGCCGTTGACTTGTACTTGTCTTTCATTGCCCTTCAACTTGTTTACCAAGGTAAGTCCATTTTAAGAAAAGCTTTCCAAACAAAACAATTTATAAACCTGAAGAATTACCATAATTCCTCCATTGGCCTTCCTCCTAATGGAGATTCACATTTAGCAGTATGCGATAAACACGAATATTCTTGTCCCCACCAGATTGGCGGCTATATATATATGGTCACTTCTGGAATAATAAATTTTGGAACGAATATTTAACCATAAAAACATGTTATATCATTCAAATATAAAAAGAGAGTGAGCTCATTAAAATATGATAAGAAAATTTTCCATATATCCTGGGTTTACTCAATTTACGATTTAAAAGTTCTAAAGGATAGCTAAATGTTAAGTATTCCTCAGTGAACACAGGCCGCACTAACTGTAAACGCCAGCCCCCATCATTTACGAACTTCATCATGACCTGAAAATTCATTGGCAAAACAGAATTAGCGTCTAATTATCTGGTGTCGTAGGCTTTGACAGTATTTAACACAATTGAGGGTGCAGTGGCTGGAAGAGAAAATAAATGATGGGGGTGTTGGGGTATTGAACACAGGGTACACATTCATCCTATCGAGCATCGAGAAGAACACCTTAAATGACTTCCATGGATCTAATCACTGAATTGAATTTACATTTATTTTATAATAAAATAAACAACCACTTTCATGAACATAAATACATGAATCGGAAGGATAGAAACAGGCAGATCTAATGCGAGGAATATCAATCAGCCACATTAAGTGGAACAGATGGTCCCAAAATAATGCGTTAAAGATGTAAACTATGGACTAGAAAGAAACATTTTAAGGAAAGCATATATACTCTGAAGGAGCATTTGGTTTGCAAGCATGAATATGTAGGGCCAGGTTTCACAATTGTAGTCCTGTGCCATTCCAAAATACAGCATCCAACTCCTAATTGTTTACTCTCCAAATTCTCTTTCTAATGCTTTCTTTCTTTGGTTGCCTAATGGGCATTCAAATGCATGTTATAAAATTATTAATGTTATCCACACATAACTACCACTACATTCTTCAGTCCCTGTAAATTCCAAATACAGGGGTCCGATTCCTGCACTCTGCTTCCAAAGTTTCTCACTTCGAACCTTTTGGTTGATGTTTGTTAGCAAACTGAACATTCCTTTAACAGTTACACCTCTGTTTTAATATCTTCACACTTCAAGCCTCCATCACTTTCCATCACTCAAATTAGAGGAAAACTACAGAACTTAAGTACTTTATATATACCTTTTCAGTTTACAATAAACTAAGTGGGGCATCTACTTCCTTCTGGGCTCTGCCCTGCTCTCATCTCTAGTCAACAATTGTTTTTCAGGTGACTAAGATTTGAAACGAATGCACACTAAGATGTAGGCGAGCAGAGGAAATGCTAACAATCCACAACCGGTTCATAATATAGATATCTCATTCCTGTCCAGTAAAATAATTCCTAGTTTCTCCGAGAACCATGACAAACAATATCGCCATTAAGATGTTCTTAAAGTTTCAAAGAGGATGAAGACAAGAAGCTAACTACCTAGGGCATTAAGAAAAATACAAAATTTATAGTTTAACATACAGAGAAGGGAAGTGAACTACAAACTAGACTAGATATTAAAACCACAACATCTGAAGATTGGCACTCAGAAAAGTTCACATCTACAAGGATAGCAGCGTAGGAACTAACTAACAGAGAGCTGCTTCAATAATGTTTCCTAACGATTCTCCTTCTCAACCATAAACGAAGACCTATTGGAAGAAAATAAACGCAAATCCACAACAAGAACGTCTTGAATATGAGGAGCGTTATAAAAAGCATGGATGCTAGTCGTACTATCTTCAATCATTTGGATCGATCGTGCCTAAATATACAATGTCATGCAATTCGGTAGGCATTGCATGGACGTGCATCGAACGAAAATTTAAGGAATTATCGATCCGTTCCGTAATTGCAAAAAACTTCAATAAGATGAGCACGATGCAGAACACAAACAAGCCAGATCGAAGAGAAAAATAGAAGACCTATTTGATTGGATGCATACCTAATCTAACCAGATCCAACGATGATATTGTTGATCGGAATGAAGATTAGCTTGACAAAGAACCCTACAAATCCCATCACAACGAAGCCGATAGCGGTACGAACGGCAACCTTGGTGAATTCTGCATCACCAAAATGTTGAATAAGTCAAATTGAAACGGAAAACGGAATCTGTGACTTCGATTGAATCAGATCTATGCAATATAATGTCAAAGAAAGAAACATACCCTTGCGATCGGGTTTATGACACCTCTTAACGAGACGAACGCTGTCCTTGGCGAACTCTCTGAGAGGATCAACAACAGAATCTACGGCATCCATTTCTCCGAGATGCGAAGGGAACGTCGACAAAAGAAATGTTCCGCGAATTTTGGATTCAGATTTGAACGGGTTGGGGGCGTCTGGAGGTATCAAGGAAGAAAAGAAATGCTTTGAGCGCAGCTAGACTAGGGAGATTGGGTCAAAATTGATGGGCCGCCGAAATATTTGAAATCACAGAAATACCCTTGAACTATCATTTATAGAGATGCCAATTGACCTGCCCCAAAATGGTAAATTTTAATTTAAACGACAAATAGGGGAGGAAATGAAGAGAGATTTTATCCTACTAGTATTTATATTTTATTTTTTAGAAATTATATTAAATATTATTTTCTTACGTCATAATATTGAATTTATTATAATATTTTACATTCTTTAACTAAAATTATATGGATCTATTAACATTTTATTTGAAAGAAATATTTCAAATGAAATAAGAAACAAGGACCGAACAACAAAAACTTCCCCGTCCATGCCCCATCTCACGGACATCTCTATTTATGGTGTGTTTGCACGGAGCTGAAGTATGGTAAGTAACAAAGCTGTAAAAAATCAAGTCACTTGAATTCTCTTAAGAATCGGAATTTATAATTTGGTCTTCATGTTTAAGTATTTTTTCAATTAAATCTTTATCGAATAAAAAAAGACAATTTAGTTTCTTCTACATTTACATTTTTTTTTTAATTTTTGAGGATTATTTTGAAAAAAACTTAATATTTCAAGAGTTAAAGTGAAACTTTTAAGAGTTCGGAGGTATCATTGAAACCAACCTCGTAGTTCTCATGGTTTAGGAGTATTTAATTTTATAATTTAACCATTAAAAATCATGAAAAGAAAAAAAAAAAAAAACTTTAGCTTTCGTTTTTAGGTTGAGATGATAATTTGAACACTAATGTTTAGGTGCTTTAGGACACACCGACAACGGTTAGGCTATGCTCACGATGGCTTCAATAGCTTGAACTAAACAGGATTCGAACTAGTCATCATGGAAATCCAACTGGTCTATGATCTTCCTCATTGGTTCTTCCTGTCCTTTGGAGTCCCCTAAAGCAGCTGTGAAGGTATACACATAAGTCACTTTTGTAGCCATGATTCTATATATGCAGCCACATCTCCTTTTATCAAAATCTCAATCACTTCTCGCTTTCCGGATTGTTCGGAGAAGAGTCCTACGTCGTCTAATTAAGGGGTTGATCATGGGTTTATAAGTATTTGGGGAAACGAAAAACAAAATCATGATAGTTTATGCTCAAAGTGAACAATATCATATCATTGTGAAAGATCCATAATTCGTAACATAGTATCAAAATCATGCCCTTATCTTAGTTGTGTCAATAGAATCCTCAAGTGTCAAACAAAGAAGTTGTGAGACTCGAAAGTGTAGTCAAAAGTGACTCAAGTGTCGAATAAAGGTGGTACTTTGTTCAAGAACTCAAGAGAAGGAGTCGAGCCTCGGTTAAGGAGAGGATTGTTGGGAGGGAGTCACATGTTGGCTAATTAAAAGGAAGATCATGAAGTTATAAGTAAGGAATACATCTCCATTGGTATAAGGTCTTTTGGAGAAACCAAAAGCAAATCCAAGAGAGCTAATGCTCAAGGTAGACAATATAATACC